CAGGCTTGGGCTCTGCCATCTTGCCTGCCAGAAGAGCAGTAAGGAGGCCCCCTGCTTAAAACCTGGAGTCTACAGGTCAGAGTGACTGCTGGAGGGAGGAAGCCCCTGGAGCCTGGTTCTCCGAGACAGTCTGCAGGCCACAGAGAAACAGGGCAACAGACAGGCCTGTTAGAAGGGGAGCTCAAGCTGTAGAGACTCCTACACTAAACTCCAGAGGTCCCAGGTGCAAATCTGCCTGAGGGCAGTTGCACTAACAGTGATAGTGGAAATATAATGGTAATACATGCTTTATGAAACTAGAAAGGATGACAATAGCTAGTTTTCCCTCATAGAACTGAATCCTTTGACTTAAATGAAGTCAATAGAAAAACTATGGTTAACTTAAATAGGAGTAGAGCTGGATCCAGAGAAGATGTATAATTGAGACAGATGCTCTTTGTTAACATCTATTCTGAAATTAAAGCCACTTAGCATTCTACCCAAGTCCACTGAAGTAAATGGGAGTCTTTGCACTAGCTTTAACAGGCTTTGGATGAGGCCCTAGATAAGAGCCTTAATATGGATTTAGAGGCTTAACTTAAGGTACCCAAGTTTAAAATTGTTTAAAATTGTTGTCTTTAGAACAGGGGTTGGCAACATGCAGCACGTATGCCATAAGTGGCACACAAGATGATTTTTGAGTAGCACGCGCAATGAAAGCCTAACAGCACAGGACAAGGAGCCTGAGCAGGTCCCTGGTGTGAGGGAGGGCGTAGCATTGAGGAATCTTCCCCCTGGAGAGATGCTCTTCTGCCATTGGTGCGAAGGGCCAGGGGGCTCCTGTCCTAGGTGCGGCACACACCTTTCCTGGCTCAGAGGTGGCGGTGGCAGACGGGGAAGAAGGTGGCTGGGAGGAGGTAAGGCATTCGTTCGGGCAGTACCTAGCTTTTCAGGGAGAAAATAAGGGCAGCACCCTGATTCCTAGGTGGGGAGCCATAGCCAAGGAGCCCTAGGGTTTGTGTGGTAGCCATGAGACCCCGTGAGGGGGTGTGCAAGAGCAGAGAGTTGATCAGCCTGGGAGACAGAAACCCCATTGCTACTCTATAGTGCACTGCCAAACAAGCACATGTACAGAGTGACGACTGCTGCTGCACTATCAGGCAGGGGCGATTCTTGAGTCCCTTAGAGGCTGGTAGCAGCTAGAGAGGGAGCAATGTGCAATTAAACTGCTTTCCTTTCTCCAGGCCTAGCTCCTAGCTAGTGAATTTGCAAAAAGACTTCAACTGACAGGCAAGAAACATCAGATTTCTGATCTTAATTCTCCTTAAATCACCTGGTAGGGGGTTCCAGAAGCTTGTGGGTTTGTATGGAAGAAAGCAACCCTTAAAGAGCAAGTTGGGGTAAGGATGTTAAAATGCAGTTAATTGTACAAGAGCCTCAAAGGAGGAATGTGGAAGTGTCTATAGACACTTATAAGCAAATGCTTATTGGATAGTCAATTAGTCACTAGTACAAGAGCCTCAAAGGAGGAATGTGGAAGTGTCTATAGACACTTATAAGCAAATGCTTATTGGATAGTCAATTAGTCACTAGTCTTTAGTATCTTTAATTTGAGGATGACCATTGAGTATTGTAGGCACTGAAGCATGTGTTTCCTCTGAGCACAGAGCTGATATGACCAGAAAGAGAGCAATGATATGACCAGAAAGAAAGCAATGTTTCCAAGATGCCTCTCTGTTCTTATCTATGCAGGTGCTAAGTGTTGTCAAGCACATTTAAATGGTTTTTCTCTTCAATAGATATTACTGGCATGTGGTAAGATGTTTATATGGTGAAAGAATTTACAGTATTGTGGCTATTTACATTCACTGTAAGATCTGCATCTTAATTTAAATAGAAGTGAATAAGTTAAATCTTGGCACACCACTTCAGAAAGGTTGCCGACCCCTGCTCTAGACTCTGGATGCTAAAAAAAAAGTTGAATATACCAGAAATCTTCTTCCATGACTCTAAGTGATATGCGTGTTAAAGTAAAACAAAGAAAACTATTATTAACTATTAGTATTTTCATGTGTTAGAGTTCAAAACTCAGGAGTGGCGGGGAAGTCACTTACGTAATACAAGAATATCCTTGACAATGTTTAAACAACGAGAAGTCCTGTGGCACCTTATAGACTAACAGATTTATTGGAGCATAAGTTTTCGTGGGCAAAGACTTACTTTGTCAGATGCATGACATGACATGCATCTGACAAAGTGGGTCTTTGTCCACAAAAGCTTGTGCTCCAATAAATCTGTTAGGGTATGTCTACACTACCACCCTACTTCGAACTAGGGTGGTTAATGTAGTCATACGGAGTTGCAAATGAAGCCCGGGATGTGAATTTCCTGGGCTTCATTTGCATAAAGCTGGGCGCTGCCATTTTTAAATGTCCGCTAGTGTGGACTCCGTGCCGCACGGCTACACGCGGCACAGACTAGATAGTTCGGACTAGGCTTCCTAGTCCGAACTACCGTTACTCCTCATTTTAAATTTTCTCTTTCTGAAGTTTTTGCATACATTTCTTTGTGTCCCTCTAGCAGCTAAATAATCCAGGAGTCCTAACTCCCTTCTGTAGCCTGAGAACAGTACTTCCTCTTGATGAGCAGGTTATTACTAATAATAATGTTTGCATTTTTCTAGTATTGATAGACAATTAAAACATGTCTATCAAATACTCCCATGCATTTAAATTATTTTGTAGTAGGAATAAACAAACTCAAAATATTTACCAACTCTTAAAATGCTTCCTCTGAAAGACATCAATGAAATACTACCTATATCGTATTAATGAATATATTGTGTTGAGGAATATGAAGTTCTAGGAACATGTAATTTATAGCATTTCCTGGGAAAACTCTTGAGCACAGCGTCAATACTAGTTAAGTAGTTATAGATGGGTTTCTAATCTTCAGGAAACATCTGGAAAATGTTTTGCATAAAATAAATTATTGATAGGAAGATGAGTTACGTAAATGGATAGGTATATTGAATATTTCTTTATTATAAAGCCAGAAATTCCATATGCACAGGAAAGTGCTGTCATTTTTCTAGCTACATCTTTCTAGGAACCATAGACTCGGTCATAAGACAACATTACTAGTTTCCTCCTACTTCATAAAGTATTGTAAATAACTGAGATATGAAAAATTCTCACTGTCTAGACCAGAGGTGGACAATAATTTTTAAAAAGGGGACCACTTCAGAAATTTCTGACGTGGCTCTGGGGCCAGGAGACTTCTTGTGCTCCCCCCCTCCCGAATGGCCTGGGGTAGAGGAGAGCAAGAAGTCTTTCCCCTTCTTCCCTCCCTGCGTCCCCCGCCCCGCCCCCTAGAGAGAAATACCAGCTGTTTTAAAACAGCTGGCAGCTCCCTTCACACACCTAGCAGAAGAAGACATCACACGCTCTCCCTGCCCCCAGGCCAGTCAGCTCGCCCCACAAGAGCGTGTGGTGGCTAGAGAGACACTCCAGCTGTTTTCAACCAGACAGCGTGCCTCTCTAGCCCAGGGGTGGGCAAAGGGCCCTCTATGGGCCAGATTTGGCCCGCAGCTGCCCTGTCACTTCCCCACTCCCAAGCCAAGCAGGGTCTGGGGGGGCGGGAGCGCATAGCGGCTAAAAAGAA